ACTTCCAAATCCTTGCATGGGCTCATCCTCCAACTCGCTTTCCTCATACTCACTGTCGGCAATGACCCAGCCGACGTTTGGAAGAGGATTGGAGAAAGGAGAAAGGAGAAACCCTAATCGCTGGGAAACGCAATTTGAGTTTCAGGGATCTGAGTTTCAGGGATTTGAGAGAGGAAAAGAAAGGAGAAACCCTATCGCTGGGAAACGCTTAGAGGAGGGAGGCGGAGAAGGGAGGCGGAGAAGTGTAAGAACGAAGGTGTGGACGGTGAAGAATGAAGATAAAGGGGTGGGTTGGATATGGGGTGGGTGAGTAATAAATGTTTTAACTTTTTAGGGGTATTTTAGTCATTACATGTGTATTTAAAGTGTGTGGGAAGATGATTTTAGGACGGAAAAAAAAGGGAAGTGGGAAGATCAATATAGGACGGAGGGAGTATTAGTTTAGACATAAAGATTACCTTGAGCCACACTTTTTTTTCTCGATTATCGAAGACATAAAGCATGTATTTTCAAGCTTTTCCTTCTCGTTTTCCATAAAGAGTAATGATGAAGCACGCGGTTTTATGACCACACATCCAACTCTTCATATTAAATGCTTATATTTGTTAATCTTTTCTTTTACTCGATTAGACATAAAGATTGTCTTGAATCACGTATTTCTTTTTGTCAAATCTCAAAAACATAAAGCATAGCATTTTTCAAACTTTTGCTTTTTCATTTTTCCATAAAAAGTAATGATGAAATACATAGTTTTATGTCTACACATCCAACTCTCCACATTAATGACTGAAACCATTGCAAGGTATGGGACTTGTCCCACATCGGTTGTATGGGCAATTGATGTGGGGTTTATAGGGCAAATGGGTTCCCTCACTTATCAGACTAGTCTTTTGGGTTGAGTTCTTCCGTTTGGTCTGTAACAATGGTTTCAGAGCCAACCTCAGAGTGGTGGCCCACGGAGTGGTGGCCTGGAGAGTGCCAGCCGTGACCAACGTGGCTTGGCCGTGACCAACGAAGACGTTGGTCCTTAAGGAGGGGCAAATGTTATGGACTGAAACCATTGCAAGGTATGAGACTTGTCCCACATCGGTTGTATGGTCAATTGATGTGGGGTTTATAGGCCAAATGGGTTCCCTTACCTATCACACTAATCTTTTGAGTTCTTTTGTTTAGTTTGTAACATATTATTTATAAACTAAGTACTCGTACAAATTTTACATTTGCATAATAAACAAAAAACACATTTAAACAATCAAAATAAACAAAGAAAAAAATGCATAGCAAATTCATTGCAGAATGAACCAAATATATTTCAAATACTCCGTATGAAATCACTTCAAATTACTGACCTTTTGGATAAAATTAGGGCTAGAACTTGTAAGTCGGAACTCGGAATCTGAATTAGGGAAAAGCAGCGCAGTCACGGCGGCGCAGCTGTCGGAGAACCGCCAGATGTTTCAAATACTCCGCATGAAAACACTTCAAATTACTGACCTTTTGGATAAAATTAGGGCTAGAACTTGTAAGTCTGAACTAGGAATCTGAATTAGGGAAAAGCAGCGCAGTCACGGCGGCGCAGCTGTCGGAGAACCGCCAGATGGGCGGTGGAGGCGCGGCGATTGGACGTTGCGCTTGCACCTCTGCTTTGTTCCTGAGTTCTCTCTATTGAAAGAAAAAAAAAAGAAAAAAGAAAGCTCGTAGTAATTTGTTTTCCAAATCAAATTCCAAATTATTCATTGAAAATATAGGATAAAGCTATATATACCCCCAAACTTTTGTATAGGTTTGCACCGACATTTTGTGTTGGTGTAAAATTAATATTTGTTAACGTACCAACACTTTGTGCTCGTGTAATTTTTTGTTAACGCACCAACACTTGTGTCGGTGTAAACAATCAAAATATTTGTGTATAACTACGGTGTAAAATGGGGTACAATTTTTAGTGTAAGTGTAGCATGGCTCGAAAACATGGGTGGCCCGGAGGGTGTGCAAAGTGGCCAACCGCACAGGGTCTCTTAAAATTTAAGGCACCATATTTTTAAATTTGTTAATAATTTTAAAGCAAAAGTATTCTAAAAATATAAAATAGGGCACAAAATGTAAATTTTGAATCGGGCTAATTTTATTTTTTCATTTTTCGGGGCAGCCCCCGCCCGAAAATATATTGTGCAGAAATTGAAGATTCGAACCAAATAGGCAGCTTCCTATTAAATATTCAGCTTTAAAAAAAATCGCATTCAATCATGTGATTTTTTTTTACGGCCATGTGATATTTATATAACCTTTCAATCATTGTTTATTCGAAAAAATTAATAATTCTTACTAGTTCTACGACTATTGTCGAAATTAGAAATAAATATGATCATGGGCACTATTATAAAAATAAATAGGGCGCAGGTTTGGGGGCAAGTGCCTCTGATTTTTTTCAATGTCATTTAAAATAATGAAAAATAAGTAAATTTGGTATTAAGCAAGTACTCAAATAAGTAAAACTAATTACTTTAAAAGTAGAAAAAAATAAATAAATATATATCATAATTTAATATAAATACGATATTTCTTATACTTTTCCTGCATATTTGGTTTAGAAAGTTATTTTTTTCTTTTAGACTATGTTTTTATTTCTGACAACACGCATGTAATACTTTTCACCAAACACACACTTAATTTATTAGAAATTTTTATTTTTTTACACTATATATATATATATATATATATATATATATATATATATATATATATATATATATATATATATATATATATATATATATATCAAGGACTTTGTAATAATCTAATGGTCCAATATGACTTTCTCAAATGAAATGTCATTGGTTCGACCCCAAGTGGGGTAATAACTCTACAGGCTTCAATAAGTTGAAAATATATAAACAGATACTACCTTCTAATAAAGTTGTTAGTATTTAAAAAAATATTATATTTAAAATTAAGTAATAATTTTGTTACATTGCTTAATGTTGAATATACTTCAATAATAATTCTACTATATTTTTTTATACAATTAAATAATAATAATAATAATAGTATTACATATAATAAAATAATACTTATTACGAGTATTATAATTATTTTAGGAATAATAGTACTCCCCCCTAATCTTCTCGTTTATTATTCATATGTTCAAATTTTATTAACTTTTTTTATTTGCATTGATCAATTGTTAAAATTATATAATCATGTCACCATTTATGTTATAAAAGGTTTAATTTTTCTTAAAATCAAAATTTAGTACGAAGTATTTTAAAATTTTACACTTATAATCAAATAAGTTGAATATATATAACTTCAATCAAACCTTGTAAATTGAAATGAAAATTTGATAAAATAAAATATTTTTTGCAACATCTTGTTTTGTGAAATTTTTGATACACTTTTGAACAGTGTAATTTTTACTTTTTATTTCTCCATCAATTCGAAAATAAAATGATTTTAAAAGCACTAACACTTTGCATGTTCTTTGAAATATTGTAACCAATTTGAGAGGGTGGGAGCATAGTTTTTAGTCCTGTTAAATGCAAATTTAACTAGTTTTTACAATGGTTTGTAAATTTGCTCTTTGTATTTACAATTAATATTTACAACAAAATGTTAATTAAATATTTATACAAGTCTAATCACACGCCCATCTACAATGGGTCACACCCAATACAACATAGAACCGATAAAGATAGCATCCGCTAATAAAAAAAGTTAATAAAATTATTTTTAGTTGATATACAATACATTTTTATTTAATTGACAATCCAAGTTTGTCTAAGAGCAACTCCAATAGTAAAAGGTATCTTGGATATGTATATATCTCATTACCTCTCCAAATGATCAAGTTTACCTTTTTAAAAAGTGTGCAACTCCAACGGGGAAGGTAAATCAAAAGGTAAAATTATTGGGAAAATTTTAGTTGATTTACCTTCTTAAATCAAATTTTAATTATTAGAAAAGAAAATATACATTCTTAAAAAAAATCATGGGGAGGTAAATTTGAGGTTTGTTGGCTTTTTTTCTTCTTGATTAAAATTTTAAATTTAAAGATTTTATAAAAATACAACTAATTTATTGGGGGGAAAAAATTAGAATGTCAGTTTTGAAATAATTAAATATACATTATGTCTAATTGCACATGTAAAATTATAAATACCCAAATAGAAAAAACTTAAAAATACAGAGTGCAAAATTAAAAAACAAAGTATCATTTTTTTTGTTAATTCTTGACTCGTTAAGTTTTACAATTACAAAGATACAAATTAAAAATTTATAATAATACATTCAAGCAAAAATACAATAACTATAGTAATTGATGAAATAAATTTAAAAGGTGGGACAAATTGATATACCTCTCCAAATGAAGAAGGTAAAGATACCTCTTCAAAATTGTAGAAGATATAATGCCTCCTTATTTACCTATCTCATAAGAAGGATTTTTAATGAAAAGAGATATATATTACAAATATTCTTCTTACTCTTTCATATACCCCTCCCATTGGAGTTGCTCTAATAGACTAGAAAAAGGTGATACTATTACCTTTAATGTTATTAGTAAAGGCACCACAAAACTTGTGAATATTTTTCGATAATTCTATATAAATGTTTTTGCGAAACAACATTACAATAATTGTGAAAATAGCACAACAATTTTTTCTACGAATATTTTTTTGATCTAGCTTCCATATTAGTAGCAACGGAGAGGTATTCTATAAAGTCAAGTTAGGAACATTGTTTCCTTTATCTATAATTAAGTAAGGATTACGTGTCCAACCTTCATTTGTATGAATGCCTTAATTTTCCTATAATTGGAATGTGTTGGATAAGATCCAAATACATGGGACTATGGGAGGCAAGGGCTAGCTGGTCAACATTCGCCTATAATTGTTCACTGACTATGACTTTTGACAAGGTAAGATTAGTACTATTATTATCACATTAATTAAATATTATTTGATATCCCCATGATCATTATATAAACCTCGATCATATAAGCATACATGGTCATATATTCATAAACAAAAAAAGTTAAACTTTCTCTCATATATTATTTGCACAACAATATATAATACCAAACCAGACATTATATAAGAAAGCATGGCCAATTTCCAACCATTCACGGCCTCAAATCCAGATGAAAACCGATGGGTTATCCACATCAAAGAATCATTCATCCAAGAACTTGAAGATGACATCGAAATCCCAGTCACCATTTTCAACGTCCCAAAACTTCTAATGGCGTCCGATCCATACTCTTACGTCCCTCACCAGATCGCCATCGGCCCGTACCATTACTGGCGTCCCGAGCTCTACGAAATGGAAAGGTACAAGCTCAATGCGGCCAAGAGGTTCGCGAAACATCTCCCCGAAGGCCTCGAGTTCCAAGAAGTCGTCGGGGAGATCAGACATTGCATGCCGAAGATTCGGGCGTCGTACGACAAGTACTTGAACCTCAATGACGACACTCTGGCATGGATGCTGGCAATGGACGCATGTTTCCTCCTCGAGTTTCTCCGTGTTTGCGCTTTGAAAGGCGGAAAAGACGTTCTCGGCAGGGTTACCAATAGGATGTCGCATATGGTAGACGTTTTCGGGCGAAAATCGGCTCACAATGCCACGTTAAGGGACATCGTGATGCTCGAGAACCAAATCCCATTGTGCATTTTGAGGAAAATGTTGGAATTCGAACTATCGTCGCAATACTTGGCCGATGAAATGTTGCTCGCCATGCTCGTAGGATTGTACAAAGATCTTTCACCGTTCGCGAATATAACTGATGACTGCTCGTTGGCCAAGGTAAGACTCCAAGATTGTGCTCATTTGCTTGACTTCTTCTACCAAGTGATGGTACCATCCCAAGTAGATGTGGATTATGTGTCTTGCCAAATAACAAGAGATTTAGAAAGAAAGGATGGTCTTGGACAAGAAAACCAAACCAATAATACCCTTTGTAACTCCAACAATCTCTTTACTAGGCTAGCTAAACAAACATGGAAGTTTGTTTCCAATGCTAAAAGTGGGCCTATGAGTATTGTTAATGTCATTGCAAACTTGCCATGGGACATTATCGGTTCACTTCCACTAGTAAGAAACTTGAAGCAACGTTTTTTCCCTGACGCTCAAGAGAACAAAAAGTTTGATGAAAACAATACTGAAGGCGCTTCAGAACGACCTCCACTATTTGAAGAAATCGACATCCCGACAGTGTACCAGCTCACGAAATCAGGAGTTCGATTCTTACCCACGAAGTCAGGCATTCTAAGCATCGCCTTCGACCCCGCAACCGGTACATTCCATCTTCCCGTGGTGAGACTTGACGTGAACTCGCAAGTCCTCCTGAGGAACGTCGTCGCGTACGAGTCGTGCGTCACGTGCGGACCCTTGGTCTTCGCGCGCTACGTCGAGCTGATGAACGGGATAATCGATTGCGACAAGGATTGCAAGGAGCTAAGGGAGAAGGGGATAGTCTTGAACCATTTGAAGAGTGATGGGGAAGTGGCTAACCTATGGAATGGGATGAGTAGGTCAATAAGGTTGACCAAAGTGCCCTTTTTGGACAAGGTGATTGAAGATGTGAATAGGTTCTATAATGGTAGGTGGAAGGTCAAAGTAGGGAAGTTCATGAAATCCTACATTTATGGTTCTTGGAAGATCCTCACATTGCTTGCAACGATTTTGCTCTTAGTGCTTTCGGGCTTAGAGGCATTTTGTTCGGTGTATAGCTGCCCTCGTTTGTTTCATATTGATATAGCCGATTCTACCACTTAATTTGTTTATTCGATTATCACATTTTAATTAATTGATTTATTTATTTATTCATTTGTATTGAGTGTGCTGAATAAAAACTTTATGACTTTATTTTATTTATTCTTTTTTTATTCATTGTAATAATAAATAAATGGTGTTTATTGCCAATGTTTGTCTTACAATTTGAATCTGCAGTCTAATTGAACCTTTCATAGTATGGGTACATAATTTTAAGTTGCACATAGATGGGGTATGGTTACGGGTATTTTATGGGGACCGAGTTGAAAACATAAAAACACCAACTTCTTAATTCGATATAAATAATAAGATGGATGTGGAGATAGATTTTCCAAAGAAATATTTGTATTATGTAGCACTAAAATTTAAGTCATTTCTCTAAATAACACTTAAATTATTTTTTCCCTAAATAGCACTTAATAATGTCTATAATGACCAGTATGGCAAACATTTACTTGAATAATGACTAATGGATAATGACTTAAAGTGCTACATTGGGAAAAAAATACATGTAGTGCTATTTAGGGAAAGTCATTATGTTTTAGTGTTATTTACTTAAATTCCTCTTTTCCAAATTCCCTAGCAAAGGGTTTTAGGAATGAAACATAGAAAATTGCTCTTAGGTACTTCCTATTTTGAGAAAACTAACTATCGGTACTTCTCATTTTTTAAATATACTCTGAGGTATCCTCTATCTTGAGAAACTAACTATCAGGTACCTCACATTTTTAAAATATACTCTGAGGTACCTCCAAATATACATTAACTTACTCGTGAGAGACATTCTATCTCATTCTCCGTCAAAGTCAATTACGCCATTAATTTTAAGAAATAGGGAGTTGGAATTCCAAAAATAACCTTGGTTCTTATACTTTAAGGATACAAAAAGTTTAGTTTTTAGCCAAAATTTACAAAAAAAGGGTAAAATAGCAAAATCAACCCAAAATATCAAATATAGATTTACTAAATGAAAAATTCACCACTAAGTAATGGCCTAATAAAAAATGATACCAAATTTAATTTGGGAGTAACTTTGGTAATTTTGCCTAAACAAACAAAAAACACTATTAAAACAAAAGATTCTAAAATGCTAATGCAAAAAAGTCCAAAATGGTTGAGTTCCAAAATCAACATAAAATTACATTTAAACATGTAGTCATAATATATATCCATAAAATTCCAAAAACATATAGCAAAAAAAAATCGGATATCCGGTTATCCGAAAAATTCCATAAATTGAATCTTTATCCGATCTGATTTTTCTCGGATATCCGACCCGAAATATCCGAAAGCTAACAATATTGGATTGGATATCCATTTTTCGGATCGGATTGGCCCGGATCGTGGACGGATATTTCGGATCGGATATTTTTGAACACTCCTACTTGTAATGGGCTATTTTGCCCCCCAACTTATCCCTCAATATCCTTTGTTAATTAAATGTCACACACACTCTACTAGTCTCTTCGACTTCATTTAACTGGAAGTTCAACACTGCACCTGTTCTAGCGAATAGTGGATAACAACATCTTCTCTATTTGTTTAGTTTTTTAAATGTTATCAAATTTTTGTATTTACTTCTTAAGATTAAATAAATATCTATCCACGTTTAAAAATACAAATTTAATTTCATTTGTATGATCTGAATTCTTAAAATCTTATTTTGTAACTATATTTTTCATTTTATAAAAGAAAAACTATAAAGTTAATTTAATTTCACTCAACTTTAAATTGTGTAAAACTTTATCTAGTGAGTTCATATCTAATTTATAAAGAGACTTAAATCTTATTTATAATTCATGATGAGCATTTAATCAATTTTGTAAAACACAAATTGTCCATTAATACTCCCCCGTCCCAAAATATAAGCAACATTTCAAATAACCTGTAAAATGTGATCTCTTTTAAAAATCATTTTATTTACAAATTAGTAGAGAAATAAAAAGTAAAAATCACACTGTTTAAGATAGATCAAAAGTTTTACAAAGTAAAATGCCATAAGAAAATTTTATTTTATTAAATGATCAATCAAAACGAGTAAACAAAGAAAAATTTTCGAAATGCCGAAATAGTAATTTTTGTTTACATTTTGGACGGAAGAAGTATACTTTTTTTCATGTCTCAAATGCTCTAATGGTGTCTAAATGTTTGCTTAATTTTTAAGAATGTGCTCTTACTTTGAATACATTTTGTGGAAGTACAAAATAAAAACTAGATTGAAAGATCTCTTTTGGATAAACATGAAAAAAATGAATAAATAATAAATCATGGTATTGGTTGATTTTTTAGAATTTTTATGGTGTATTTGTATTCAATTTCAAAGTTTAAAATGTCTTTCTTATTAAAAATATATGCATCCATTGTAAGCCATATTTTAAAAAAAATCAAACGTTAATTCGCAAACGTATCCGTATACGTACTTTGAACGTATACAACATGTAAAAAGAAATACTCCGTATTTTAACAAAGTGATCTGTTTTAAACACGAACGTACGAATAGATGTATTATACTATTATCTAAATACGCTAACAGAGGTCACAAGTTAATCTTCTTGGTTTCTTTTCGCAATGTCCAAAAACAATCTATGTTTTGATTGTTTTTTTTTATAAAATCAACTCCTTCCCTCCTATAATTGAGTAAAATGTTTATAAAAGCACGATTTTTTTTGTTCATTTGTGTATTTCATTATTTATTTGATAAAATAAAATATTCTTGTCATCTCTTGTTTTGTAAATATTTTGATGTAGTTTTTAAATATGTAAGTTTTATTTTTTAGTTATGCCTCATCTTTAGATAAAATGAATTAAAAAACTGATAATTTTTCTTGATTTTCCACAATTTGTAATTAAAATAAGGACGGAGGGTGTATACAATTAGAGAAAAGGAACGAAGTCTTTGCCGATTAACAAGCAATGTGTTTATTTAAAAATATTTGAGTGGTATTTTTGAACATTTTATAAAAGTTCAATAACATTATTGAAAGTAAAAAAATAGGGATTGGTACTTTTTACCAAACATAAAACTTGAGTAGCACTTTTTCACATTTTAGAGATTTCAACGATATTGTTAAAAAAAATAAAATGCAATGACATTTTTGACAAAAATGAATAGTTTAATGGCGTTCTTGTTACAAGACTCCACACGTGACCTATGGAATTTGTATTTTCATAGACGATTAACGTATGTGTGCATAAATTCAAAGATGATTGTCATCCATAATATTAAGGGTGATGAGTTTCTAACCTACTCCCTCCGTCCCGTTTTAAATCGTTTGTTTTGACTTTAGAGCATATTTAAGAAAGAGAAAAAATTGAATTGACTTTCCTAAATTGCTATTACTTTTTAAGAAGGGTAACAATGAATGAGAAGATAAGGTAGAGAAGAGTGACTTATTTTAGGGATAGTATATGTATTTTACTCTTAAAAGTTCACAATAACAAGAAACAAGCAACTTATTTTGGGACAAAGAAAAAAAAGAAAACAAACAATTTAAAATGGGACAAAGGGAGTAAATAATAATTGTATAATTGAATAACTTGCAACAATGACACATTTTGTATTGTATGTGACAATCAAGACAAATTCTTTATGGTCTTAAGGTTTTTAATTTGTGGATCTAGGTACAAAAAATGATTATATGCATTGAGCTTAGTAGAAAGAAAAAGAACCAATCATGAGCAGTTACGAAATATACGAGAAAGACTACATTTTATATGTGAACTTTAAAATTGCAATAACATAACTCGACAATCGATGATAAATAAACATGGATTACTTCCTTCATCCTCAAATTAGCTTCTCATTTGACATTTTATTGTCTCTGATATAAAACTTTGACCATTAATATCTCCATATATATATATATATATATATATATATATATATATATATATATATATATATATATATAAAGAGTGTGTATTTTAAAATGTAATTTTAAAATAAATCTACTAATGTTATATTTATATAAAAATCAATATATTTGTTCTGTAATATGTGGTCAAAGTTCAAAACATTTGGCCACCAGCATCAAAATGGAAAGTAAATTTTAAGATAGAAAGAGTACTAATTACTAAATACTCCGTATAGTTCGAATTTTGGAAGCTAGAGATTTTTGGAGAGAAACAAGAAGCTGCCTATTTCCAACTTTTGATCAATTATTAGAAGCTGTCAATAATTTATTAATTGCTAATCAGTTCCTACACGGTACAGTATGTATATATATATATTTCCCCATCAACAGCTCCTTCTTATTCATCTTTCATTCCCATATCTGAGCAAGGGGGAATCA